ATCTGCCGGTCTCCTCCCCAGAGCAAGGCTCAGTTTGATAAGTTCGCTGCGGACTCAAGTGGGCCCTGGAAGCCACAGGGCAATGCTTACTGTCTTCGTCCTCACGTTTCGCAATTCGCGGCGCAATGTTTGTTTGACGTTTCCGTCGCCGTTGTTCTACCCTTTGCGTTTCTCCTCGTGGGGGCCTGGTCGAAGTTACAGTCTTTTAGCGGATCCGAACCGTCTTCGAACCAATTCCGAACGTCCTTCGGATCCCCGGACTGCCCATGTCATTTCGGTGAGCCTTTTGTCTCATCGTTTCGGTGGACCGTTTTGGTTTTGCATCTTCCATGGCCCAACAGATTTGTTTGGGGGGGAGCGGCAAAACAACTGCCCTGCCGCTCCCAGGATTGGTCGGGCATGTCCTCCTACAGGCGGAATTTTGAAGAAAAAGGGGAACATAGTCAAACAATGCTCAAACACAGGCGAAACACAGTCCAAACATCGTCCCCATGTACTAGATGTTTTGACTCTTTTTCAAGACTCCTCCTGTAGAGGGGCATGGCCGGCTTGATCCCAGGGCCCACCGAGCTCCCGACCCCATCCATTCTCCCGGCGCAGGGCGTTCTTGAGGGGGCCCTGGGGGCCCCAGGCGGACCCCTGGACGCCGCAGCCGAACGCTTGCTTCACCGCACCGAAGAGCCGGTGACGCCTGCGCGGCTCTGCTGCTGCTGCGGCGCGACGGCCCTGGGGAGCGCAACCGCAACCGCAACCGCACGAGGGCGTCAGATTCACACGGGCAGCACGTGGCGGGCCCGAGGGAACCCTGAAACAAAGAGTGTTGGCACCTCTTGGGGTTGCACTTTGAGAAGAAGGAGAAGACGAGTAAGAATACAAATTATAATAACAATAATAATAGTAGCAATACTAATAGTAGTACACATGAGAATAATAATAATAACAAACTAATAATACTAATAATAATAACGGACTAATTATAATACTAATAATAGTAAGAAGAAGAAGGAACGGCATAAACATACACCTTCGAGGGTCCGCGCGGATTTCTTAGATTCGCGCTGGACCCTCCTCCCCGGCGCGCGGAGCGCGCCATGGGCGGCGCTGGCCGCGCCGCCGGGGGTGCCCAGCGCGTATCGGAGAAATCCACGCGGAGCGCCAAGCGTTTACGTTTCTGCCGTTTTTCCTTCTTCGATGAAGGCAAAAGCGTTGACACCTCTTGGGGTTGCATTCTGTACTTCCGCCGGCTTCCGCCGGCTTCCGCCGGCGGAGGTGGCCTCATGTTACTTCCGCCGCCCTCCGCCGAGGAAGACATGCCAACTTCCGAGGTTCTCGAAGGCGGGGGCCGTTCTAGAGCGCGCCGCACTTTGCCACTAAGATCTGGCGCAGAATCTCCAGGATGTCCAGGCGACAACGACTCAACAAGAGCGCGGACGGGCGAGGCCGCATTTGCTGCCCTGGTCTTTGCGGTTTGGAAGAGGGGGCCCCTGGACAGTCTGGATGCGCCATGGGGGACTCACGATGCATGACGTCGAGGTAGACACGTGCTTTGTTTCGTACGTCTGCGAGTGGGCATGTTGCGTGTAGTGGAACGCGCTCGGTGATTCCCTCGGGATCATCCTCTCCCGATGGATTCCCCCCCGCCTCTTCCTGAGTATTTTCGTAGGATGGAGGGCTCAGGGAAAAGTCCATATGGGCTTTTGCACCTCGAAATCAATCCGTCTTCTGATCCACCTTTTGCAGATCTAAGCCTCGAACATCTATCGAAGCGGCAATTCAGATTTCACCTGTTGCCCTCCACCCCAAAAAATGCTCGGCCCTCCTTCTTCCTATACTTATGTTGTTCCCATCCTACTTAAAGACCGCATCCCAGAAATAATTTCGAGCACCCGGAAAAGTGTCAAAAGAGTGTCCAAACAGTGTCGAGCGAGTGTCTCCCAGGGCCCGACACGTGAAACCCTCGAGTTTCGGCACTTTTTTTGGCGCTGGTAATTCTTTCTGGTGATCAAGGCTAAAGTAGGTTGGAACATCACAATCCTATACCACTGCTCGCGCCTCGCGGGCCCGGGAGACCCAGGCCCTGGACGCGTGGGAAGCGCGCGCCCTGCCGAGGGCGCGCCGCGCCCGCCGCACGCGGGCCGAGGCCCGCCGGGGCGGGCCTTCGGCGAGCGCCTCCGGGACGCAGGCCGCGCTGGCCTGGGGGGGGGGGCGGGAGGAGGAAATGGAGGAGGAGGAGGAGGAGGGGAGAGGGAAAGGAGGAGGAGGGTGGAGGAAGGAGAGAGGGGGTGGAGGAGGAGGAGAGGAGGAGAGGAGGAGGAGGAGGAGGAGGAGGAGGAAAGATGATCGAGGCGGAGGAGGGGGGGGAGGGGGAGGAGGAGGGGCGGGAACAAAAGGGGGGGAAGCGGAGCGGCGCTCCCCGAGACCCTGCGGCTGCATTTGCTCGTCACGCCGGGCGCGTTCGCCCGGTTTTTGGGGCCCGGGGCGGGGCCCGACCTTTTGAACGTTGTTTTTCGTTCTGCTCTCGTTTTGTTTTTTTCGTTTTGCTCTGCCCGTTTTCCTGTGCCTCCCTGCTGGAACGAAAAACGAGACACGGCCGAAGCCCAGCTACACAGCGTTTCGGTCCAGCCCTGGCCCGAGGCCATCGCGTGTCGATCCGGCTCGCCAAAAAGAGCGGCAGGATGGTGGGGTCCAGGGCTCCGTCCGGTCGCGATGTCGTTGTGGTGTTGTGTGCGCGACGTCGGGTCTCGGGGGAGGACGGCTCGCAAAAAGAGCAGCAGGATGGTGGGGTCCAGGGCTCCGGCCGCGATGCTGTTGTGGTGTCGTGTGCGCGACGTCGGGTCTCGGGGGAGGACGCGGGGGCAGAGAGCGGCAGGCGAAGAGGGGGAGGGGGGGGAAGGGGGGGGGAAAGGGGTGGAAAAGGGGGGAGGGAGGGGGAGGGGGAGGGGGAGGGAGGGGAGGGGGAAGGGGGAGGGGGAAGGGGGAAGGCAGGAGGGAGGGCTGGAAGGGGGAGGAGAGCGGAGAGCACGGCTGCGGCCACAGGGGAGAGCCAGGGCAGCCCGGCATCGTGATGTACTACGGGGGCGGGGCCGAGGCGGAGGCAGCGAGCGCAGATGCTACGACATGTGTGTGCTGCTGGTGTGCCCCGCCGACGGCCGCCGGAGGCCCGCCGGAGGACCGACCGGCGCCCGCAGCCGCCGAATGCTGGCCAAGTTGCAGTTGGAGCTTCCTCCTCCTCCTCCTCCTCCTCCTCCTCCTCCTCCTCCTCCTTCTCCTCCTTGCCCCTACCGCCCTTCTTCCTTCCTCCCCCCCTCACTCCCTTCCTCCACCTCCTCCCTCCCCTCCTCCTCCGCCTCCTCCTCCACCTCCTCCTGCCTCCCCCGCCTCCTCCGCCTCTCCCTTGCCTCCTACGCCTCTCGGCGGCCCTGCCCCCCAGGAGGCCTTCCGCAGGAAACCCGGCACCGAGACCCCAGGAGGTCCGTGGGTTTTTGGTGCGGAAGCGTCACGCTCCCCAGAACAGAACCATCGAAGCCCAAAGAAACCCAGGGCACCCTGGAGGCAAGCGAGGTGTCTCTTGGCATGAGTTTCCACTGTAATGACTACCTACCAGACCACCCCAACCCAACCCGACGACCCAAATTTCTGGTTGGGGGGGAGTACGGGTTCCACATGTGTTCTTTCAATGCTCCCAGGCGCCCCCCCCCACTGGGCATGGAGGGCAAATTTTGAACTTCGGGTTGGGTTCGGGTGGTTTGGTGGGAGGTGAGTTAAGAGAATCGCTTGTGCGGAGGCTGGTCCCCGAACCCATCCCAGACTCTAACGATAACCTTCCAGCGTGACTCTGGAGGCGCGGGAGTGCCTCCACTCCCCCCGGGCACAAACAAGAGGACATAAGAGAACGCTATGGGGCGCTGGGAGTCGGATCCGGGACAACCCCGCGCTGGCTCCAAACATTTGCAGGACAACGACGAGGAGGACATGAGCAAAGAGGGGGAACGACCGACAAGGCGACAGTCGAAGAAGAAACAACAGCACAAACATGAACGTTTGGCGCTCCGCGCGGATTTCTTGGATCTGCGCTGGAGCAACAACATATCGGTTCGTGGCATAAGAAGGCGCGTGAAGCAGACTGGGGTCTGGGAATACAGAACTACTTAAGTACTTTCAACGACCACAGTGTGTGTGTGTGTGTGTGCATGGACAGGCATCCCAAATGGTGCCGGCAAAGGGATCGGATGATCGCGCCGCGGCGTCGATGCATCGCTGGTGCATCGACTCCACATCGGCGATGCACCAGCACGTCGGCATGGAGAACATCGGAAAGCGCCACCCTCAGGGCTCGGGAGCGGCCAAGAGGGGGGTGTCCAAGAGGGGGGGGTGCAAATCATGGCCGGCGGCATGTGCGCGGCCCAGCGGGGGGGCCAGGGACGCAATGAAATAAGAAGAGGCGCCATGAAATCTGGGGAAATCTCATGGCCCCCGCCATGAAATCCACCCCCCCTAGTCATCACCCCCCTCTTTGCCGCCCCCGAAGGGCCACTCCCAATTCCGATTCTAGGACGTCCCCGGGACGCATCGGGAGCGCCACGCGTAGGGCCACGCCCGGCTCCGACGCCCAGCTCCGGAGGGGCGACGCCCGCGCCCGGGAGCGGAAGACTGCCACTCGAAGGGCCGGTCCGAGAGGCCCCTCCTGCCCTGACCTTCCAGAGTGTAAAAAATTAGCACTCCAGACCTATAGATCTATCTGGACTGCCTCAAACCTCGACAGGAATCAGGACGTCGACGTTTTGGTGCTATTTTTAAGCCCTCCTGGAAGGTCAGGGTGGGGGGCTCCTGGGGGCCTCCTGGGGGCTCCTTGGGGGCCTCTTGGGGCCTCTGGGGGGGCCGCGTCCTGGGGGCCCTTGGGGCGGAGAGCTCGAAGTGTCGGCTCGCTCCACTTCGAGCCGCATCGCCGATGCATCGGCGATGCAGCGCGATCCTCCGACCCCACCTGCTCGGACCCCATTTTGGGAGGCCTGGGCAATCGCCCCCCGTTGACCCCGTGGTCTCCGAGCGCGGCGTCTATGCGGGCCATTGGCGCAGGGCGTGGCAGGTGTGGCACTTTCTCGACCTCGTAGGGGGTCTCCGAGCACGGCGTCTATGCGGGCCATGGCGCAGGGCGTGGCAGGTGTGGCACTTTCTCGACCTCTTAGGGGGTGCGCAGGGGGTGGTCTCCGAGCGCGGCGTCTATGCGGGCCATGGCGCAGGGCGTGGCAGGCACGGCATATTCTCGACACCACGGGGGGTGCGCAGGGATTGGTCCCCGAGCGGGGCGTTTATGCGGGCCATGGCGCAGGGCATGGCAGGCGCGGCATATTCTCGACACCACAGGGGGTGCGCAGGGGGTGGTTTCCCTATCCGTTGCGGCCTCGCACAGCATGGCAGGCGTGGCACTTCCTTGACACCACAGGGGGTGCGCTGGGGGTGGTCTCCCTATCCGTTGCGGCCTCGCAAAGCGTGGCAGGAATGGCACTTCCTCGACACCACAGGGGGTGCGCTGGGGGTGGTCTCCCTATCCGTTGCGGCCCCGCACAGCGTGGCAGGCGTGGCACTTCCTCGACACCACAGGGGGTGCGCTGGGGGTGGCAACGGCCACCAACATCATTCTCACATGCTTCACTTCAGCTATCATCACTCCAACCATAATATAAGTATGTGGGGTTCCTCGGTAGCGGAATCTGTTTTTTCTCCACAACGCCGCCGACTCCTCCCGTGATCTGGCCCCCGCCAGCAAACCGCTTATCCTACATTCTCTCTGCGGGCCAGCATTGCATGACGGCTCGAAGGTCGGAAAATGACGGGCCGCCTCACTCCAGCGAGGCGGTGAGCACCTTCGCCGCGGCACCTCGCACTGCTGGGAGCTCGGACGGGTCGTCGCGCGCGGCCTCCACCGCGCCCAGGAACGGCGAGGCGTGGTCCCCCATCCTGCCCAGCGCCTCCATGGCGGCGATGCGGACCTTCGGGTCTGGGTCCTGCTTTGGACGCCCGACATGGGTACCGAAAAAATGGGTACGATGCCCAACAACAAATGTTGTCCCAAACCAACAGCGGCCGCTGTTGGGCAGGCGGCCTCCAGTCTCGAATGGACACAGGCCGCGGCGGCGTGGACAGCGAGGCCTGTTCAAAATGAACAGGAACTGCTGTTGGGCATTGTACCCATTCTTTCGGTACCCATTTCGGGCGTCCCGACCTGCACGAGTTCCGCCACCTCGTCTGCGAACGCCGCTCCCCGCTCGCCCAGCTCCGCCAGCGTCTCCAGCGCGGCCGCGCGGATGTCCGCGTCCTCGTCGTATATGCAGCGACAGATGTCCGGCGCGTAGCACTGGCCCTTGAGACCCACACCGCCGAAGGCCTTGATGGCCGCCGCCCTTACGAGGGTGGACCTGTCAGTGAACATGCTCTTGAACGTGTCAGTAAAGGCAGCGCCCTCCTCGCCCATGAGCCTCAGCGCCCCCAGCGCCGCCGCGCGGACGTTCGGGCTCACTTCCGAAAGCAGCGCGGACACCCTGGCGGCCACGTCAGCCTCTGGCGAGGACGCCGTCAGCTTCCCACAAGCCGCGGCGGCCGCTGCCTTCACGGGCGCGCTGGGCTCGTCAAGCAGCGCCGCCACCTCGTCCACGGGCCCGGTCCCGAGTTCACCAAGTGCAGCGGCGGCGGCGATCTTGACGTCGGGCTTCTCGCTGCCCAGCAGCTTGCTGATCTCACCGGCGTAAGTCTCGGCCTTCAGAGACGCCAAGGCAGACGCCGCGGCGCATGCCGGCAGCAACATCACCGCGGGTTGTCTGCTCTCTATCCCCGCCACGCAGTACGCCCGCTGTCCCTGATCCTCAGAGACGTCCGGCAGCAGGCTTGCGATGTCCGCGGCTCTCTCCTTGGCGGGGGCGCCGATGGCACCGAGGGCCAGCGCCGCGGCGGCCCTGGCGCCAGGCTCCGGATCCGCCAGCAGTCTGGCCACGCTCGGCACCAGCGGCGCAGCCTTCTCCTTGAGCGTGCTGAACAAGGACACAGCAGCGGCGCGTACGTTGGCATCCTTGTCCTTGAGGGCATCGCAGATGGCGCCGCGGTGCTGGGGCACGGCGTCCTCGAACTTGCTGAAGTACAGGATCGCCGCGATTCTCACGTCCTTGCTGGTGTCCGTGAGTTTCTCCGCCACCTGCTTCGCAAGCTCCCCGCTGTCCAGCAAAGCCAGGGAAGTGATGGCGCCACGGACCACGGCGGGGTGGCTGTCCGACAGACACCGCGCCACCTTCTCCACCTCGGCAGATGCCTTCATGCTGCCTAGCGCCACGCAGCAGCTGGCGCGCAGGTTGGGGTTGGGGTCCTCCAGCAGCGCCGCGACGGAGCCGATGTGCGAGCTCGCTGCTTCGCCAAGCATGCCCAGAGCGCCAACAGCGAAGGTCTTCCTCTTAGAGCTGCTGCTTGCCATCAGCTTCACAAGGGAGTCCATGTGCTGCAAGCCAGCGATGCCCATCTGCCCGATGGCCTCTGCGGCCGCCAGCGCCACCATCTCGTCCGCGTGCTTCGTCAGCGCGGCCACATCTGGGGCGTACCCCAGGGATGCCGCGCCGCCCTCGCCCAGGTCGGCGATGGTCGCCAGCGTCTTGCAGACCACCCTGGCGTCGCTGCTCTTCAGGCCCAGGAGAAAATCCTCGCCGTTGTTCCCACTGGGGCCCGCGACCAGCGCCATGGCCGCACTCCTGGGAAGAGGCTGGCTCGACAGCGCCAGCGGCGGGCAACCGAGGGGCCGCTTGAGCCAAAATGGCTATGGAGGACGTCCACTGATTTTTGGTGTAGGATCGTCACGCTTTCCATAGCAAAGCCATCGAGACCCAAGAAACCCAGCGCACCCTGGAGGCAACCAGGGTGTATCGTGGCATGCGTCTCCACTGCTCCTCGAGCAGCCTCCTCCTCCTCCTCCTCCTCCTTCTCCTCCTCCTCCTCCTCC